ATCACTGGCGTTCTAAAATGAGAATCGAATTCCTAAATTATACATGTTTGCATGACGCATCAGACGGCAAACTGCCGGTTCATAAGCGCAATCATTTTTATCATCATTGACATTATCTGGTCAATACGGCAGATAAGTACTTCAAAGCCAGCACTATACGAAGGAGCCACAAGTAAGTGAAAGTGATAGGACCAGAAGACGGGGAGGGTATAGCTCGGCCCCAAGCATTCTGAGCATGAAGACGGACAGATACATATTTAATTGATGGTTGTTTTTTGGTTGTTCCAGATTTGGGACGATCAGAAATGCTTCTAAAAAGCATTTTGGTGGGATCAGCAGTTAATGCACTTAAATTAACCCTGAGACCTAGCGGTGCAAACAGGGTTTCGAGATTCATGAACACCACGTTTAGCGAATTTGGGAGGCTAAAAACAGTATGTTTTAGTGTGTCCAATATCCTGACAATTATAACACCTGACAACTTCATATCGGCGTTCAGGAGGGACAATAGAAATTGACTGATATGCCAACGACTTAATGTCGTAGACTTTAACATTATTTGGCGACGACTCTAGCTCAACAAAAAAATTATTAACAACTATACATATACTTCAACAAAATTCGTATTATAATATATAACGTTCAACTATCCTTGCCCCACAAGTTGTCTTTTCAGTTGTTTCGAAATATCTCCAAGAATGAAATTAACAAACTAAATTAAAACAAGGAATTTCGCTTCAGAATATATTACAAAATTCTCGCGAGCGATTAATGTCCAAAAAAGTGTCTCGACCAGAATGGAAATAGTTTATCAAATCTGACATAGCCAGAAACTAATTCATAACTTTATCAACTGAGTGAGTCTAAGCAATGCTTTAGTGTCGCCCCCTAGTTTTCTAAGGTACTTTCATTAAAAACGGCGCGCATTTTAAGGTAGCCATTTAGTCGCTAGGGCCACAAACTGACCCTTACCCCACCCTCCTCTACACTTGACCCATCTCTATATTACGCCTGCGAACAATACTTTCTGTTAGGTCGGATTAACGTACGAACTCCTTTATACTTGTGGGCGCTAGGCGGATTGCGAGCAGTTTTGTAAAGTAAAATTAATATTGCTAAGAAATACTTGTCGAAACTCAATATTGAATTGAAACTATGGTTTATTTGTATTTTTACCCTTAAAAATAAAAAAAAAGTATATGAAAAACTTGCAAGTCCCAAGAATTCAAAGGTTAACTCAGTGAATGCAGTGTGTTGAAATGCTAAATAGTTGTGCTTAGGAAATAAATATAACCAATCATGACCTTAAGTGTGTTAACTCAAAAAAATGTTTTTAAATGAAACCTAACTAAGTAAATAATTTCTACGCTTTATAGCATCATTTTACTTAGAAGCTACATATTGGTAGATTTAACTTTTTATTATTTATTTAACATTTTCTGTATTTCAAAAATCTGCGGTGATGGATAGGGAAGATTTAATACAAATATTAGCATTGATAGTGCATGAACGTGGTGTGGCAATCCTGCCATACTACCCAGTAGTATTAGTTTGGGACCCTACGCCGACTCCTACTGTTGGAAAAATATTTTGTGGCTTCTTCATTATTGATTAACCATCAAAATACTATATAAATATTATGTTTTGATAAAAAATTTAAATTTATATTTTAAACATCTTAGAATAAACAAGAGAAATCGCTACAGTCGACGTCCACTCATAAAAAGCTTTAAAGCTCAAAACCGAGGTATGACCGTCGAAGAAGTTTATGAAAAGAAGCGAGTTCAGTTTGAGATTTGTGAATAGCAAGTCGGTGTTCTTCCAACATAAAAATAAGATTATAACCAGTTTAAAATTAAATTAAATAAAGTTTTTTTTATATTAAACTTATGGTGCAAACTTTATTGGGTCGGAAACGCTTCCTTCTACCTGTTACATACATATTTCCGACGAATCTAGTACACCCTTTTACTCTACGAGGTATAAAAATACATTTTTTAATATAATTGATGGGTTAATCCTATTCTAGACAATTTACATTTTTATTTGATACTTTGCTCATTCAAATATTGCATTGCGATCCTTATGAATATGTTTAACGCATCCACATGCATGCCCAAACGGGTACTCGGGAACTCATTACGGAAAAAAAGGTCTAGGACCCACTTTTAAAAAAAAAACCTTCTTATTCTATTTACACGGGTGCGGTACAAAAGAGAAGGTATCTGTTGCATGCACATAGGTGCATATATTTAATTTGCGCCTATTTAAACCAACTAAACGCGTTATTGTGCGCATTAATTTAGAATGCACCTGTAAGTTGTACCCAGGATGCACCTTTATGCACCAAGAACTACATTCTGTAAGCATTTATTTAGAATGCGCCTGTAAGCTGTACCCAGGATTGCACCTATATGAACCAAATACATTTTTTAGAATGCGCATTAAACTGTATCCAGAAGAAATATCAGTTAGGTTCCCAAGCAATACATTCAACAGGATTCCAAATTCATAATTTCTTTTATTTTCGTTTTTAGGAATCCAAATAGTTACTAGCTAAATCGCTAAATTTAAATTTAATTATAGATTTAAGGTTCTTAAATTTACTGCATTAAAAAAGAAATTGTGAAAATCTTCTTCGATTGAAGTCCACTCTGAGAAACGAAAAGAAACTATTAAATTTAAACAATTTCAATATAAGAACCTGTACAAAATAATAAAATAAAAATTAAATTAAATCAAAAAGAGATATAATATTTATATTGAAGTATAAGGAGTCATATTTTTTAGACCATACGCCACCTTCGGGTTTCATCTTTGTTTTTTACATTCCCATACAAATAAGCCCGAATGTATCATATTTAAGCATATGTAAAAGGCACCACAATGCGCTGCACCTAGTAAGCACATTTGCCTTGGAAAATTTTCATGTGTGTCGTTTTGTGTAAAAACAAGAGAGAACGCTATAGTCGAGTACGTCGCTGTACGCTTTCAAAAAAGAAATATCAGTTAGGTTCCCAAGCAATACATTCAACAGGATTCCAAATTCATAATTTCTTTTATTTTCGTTTTTAGGAATCCAAATAGTTACTAGCTGAATCGCTAAATTTAAATTTAATTATAGATTTAAGGTTCTTAAATTTACTGCATTAAAAAAGAAATTGTGAAAATCTTCTTCGACTGAAGTCCACTCTGAGAAACGAAAAGAAACTATTAAATTTAAACAATTTCAATATAAGAACCTGTACAAAATAATAAAATAAAAATTAAATTAAATCAAAAAGAGATATAATATTTATATTGAAGTATAAGGAGTCATATTTTTTAGACCATACGCCACCTTCGGGTTTCATCTTTGTTTTTTACATTCCCATACAAATAAGCCCGAATGTATCATATTTAAGCATATGTAAAAGGCACCACAATGCGCTGCACCTAGTAAGCACATTTGCCTTGGAAAATTTTCATGTGTGTCGTTTTGTGTAAAAACAAGAGAGAACGCTATAGTCGAGTACGTCGACTATCAGATACCCGTTACTCAGCTAAAGGGACCAAATGGTCCCTTCTGCAAGCAGTAAGCGAGATTGAAATGCGCCACCTACCTGCGATCTAATACATGGTTATGTGGGCTGCAGACAGATTTAAGCGTTATGGGCGTTTGAGTGGGCGTGGCAAACTTTTTTTGGAGTCAAACTATAGGTATTGACGAGACTAATACATTTTAGTTAATAATTGTATCTAGCATAAAAATTGTGGGCACCACAGATTTGGTCGGTTTGTGGGCGTTAGTGGGCGTGGCATGTTCGCGTAACAAACTTGCACTGCGTACAAGGCTACGGAAAATCTGAAATCCCAATTCTCTATCTTCTATAGTTTCTGAGATATACGCGTTCATATCTACGATTTTTTGAAGTTTGTGGGCGGTTTGTGGGCGTGGCAATCGCCCACGGCGTGGGTCAATCGATAGGTATTGATTTGAGTTTATCAAATCTGACATAGCCAGAAACTAATTCATAACTTTATCAACAGAGTGAGTCTAAGCAATGCTTTAGTGTCGCCCCCTAGTTTCATCACTTTCATTAAAAACGGCGCGCATTTTAAGGTAGCCATTTAATCGCTAGGGCCACAAACTGACCCTTACCCCACCCTCCTCTACACTTGACCCATCTCTATATTACGCCTGCGAACAATACTTTCTGTTAGGTCGGATTAACGTACGAACTCCTTTATACTTGTGGGCGCTAGGCGGATTGCGAGCAGTTTTGTAAAGTAAAATTAATAATGCTTAAAAATACTTGTCGAAACTCAATATTGAATTGAAACTATGGTTTATTTGTATTTTTACCCTTAAATAATAAAAAACTTTTTGAAGTTTGTGGACGGTTTGTGGGCGTTAAAGTTTGCGTGGCAATCGCCCACGGCGTGGGTCAATCGATAGGTATTGATGAGAACAATACATTTCAGTTAAAATTTTTATTCTAGAATCAAAACTGTAAGAGCCACAGTTTTGGGCGGCTTGTGGGCGTGGCACTCTACTGAAACAAACTTGCGCTGCGTAAGAAGCTCAGGAATCTGCACGCCAAATCTCAATAGCCTAGCTCCCATAGTTTCCGAGATCTCAGCGTTCATCCGGACGGACGGACAGACGGACATGGATAGATCGACTCGGCTAGTGATCCTGATCAAGAATATATTTACTTTATGGGATCGGGAACGCTTCCTTCTGCCTGTTACATACTTTCCGACGAATATAGCATACCCCTTTACTCTACGAGTAACGTGTATAAAAATGCCAGCTAGAACGATGGAATGCTGGAATCACACAAGCGTTTACACTGTAAACATTACAGTGGCGGTGTAAGTAGAGCGAGGAATTCTGAAGACTCGCGAGTCAGGTCAGGGGGCACCGCTTGTTTTAAATCCAATGCAATCTAGCGTCAAAGTTACAAGTAGCTACTGCATAATAATAATAATGAGTAATAATTTAAAAGTATACTTACATATAGCACAATACAACATTGAATAAAATCATCAAATAGAATTGTACCATGTCCAAAGCGATCAAACTTGCGAAGCAAAACCTCAATTAATTGGTCGGATAAACGATATCCGAATGAGGTGAGTGCTGTTTTCAGCTCAGTTTTGTCTATGTTTCCCGAACCGTCACGATCGAATGATCGAAAGCAATTTTGCCAATCCGTCACATATTTCCATAACGCTCCGAAGTCTTGGAAAGATACGGTACCAGTACTTTCGCGATCAAACATTCCTATCATCAAACGGATCGTTTCGGGATTAAATGCAGACCAGGTACCATTCGAAAGGGCCACTTGTAGCTCATCCGCAGATATATGACCGCTTCTGTCTTTGTCCACTCTGAAAGCAATTCAGTATTACCCAATTCTAAACGTTTCATATCTGATGCTTGCCTTTGAAAAACATCCCAAAGAAATTGTTGATCTGGCATTCCGCCATTGTTATATGCCATATTTGCTGATTTGTACTTATTAATTTATTCCACCTAGAGGTGGAGAAACTTCGATAAAATCATCCGATACATGGCGACTTCCGATGCTTTCGTCATACCACTAATGTAATACCTATTCACACAGAAAAGGTTTCCGCTTATAGCCTAGTACTCACATCGACGAAAACCGCGAGCTAACCATAGGAGTGAGCGAGAGGCAAATAAGCGGCTAACGCTTTTCGTCGGGTCTGTTTTTCAGAGCGGTACTCAGATGAGCTAAGGAAATACCAGAAAAAATACCATATTTCGCGAGTGAACTTTCGATGAACGCCGTTAGCCGCAGCCCAAAAAATTAGAAATTTAATCTTTGGCGGTGTTCGTGCAGAAGCGGTGAAGAATTTAAAAATTAAAAATGGAAGAAAAACACCAAAAACGGCTAAAAGAGATCAGTGCAAATGAAAAAGGACACCTAATCGAAGCTGTTGCCCATTGTTGTGGGACTTGACCGACAGGAAGCAATACCACAACCGGGCAAATCCGCAGAATAGTTGAAGCGCTGGAGGAGATCCACTAAAGAATCCCAGTGCCAAGGAACATGGGACATCGTTCGATCTCCGACGAGCTCTCCATTGAGAAATCCACCTCCACCAGCTACTTGACAGCTAAAGCGGAGTTGCAGGACGCGTCGGCTTCTGTAGGGAGGAGAAAATATGGTCTCCCGCTAAGGGACAGCTGGAGGAGCCATCACCAGCCATTATTGGCCAGCCTATTGGGACTCGGAGCTGGACTGCAGAAGGCGCGGGAAAGATAGCGAAGCCTCCGTGGGACGAGAAGGAATCCTTAAACTAACTCACATTTACAAAAATAAAAACATTTGTTGAACATTTTATTTATTTATATTTTAACTTCTTTGTGCACCAGCAGACTCTTCTTTTTTTAAATTGCTTCAATTGATTTGTTTTCCGTTTGGCAACAAGCCCATCTGCTTGACAGTAAGACCATGCCACATGCATTGCGGATGAACTTTAAAAACTTCGGTCACACTACAAAGAATAAGATTTTTCGACTAGTTAAACTCTTAGCAGATCTGAGTACTAGGCTTATGGAACTTTTTTTTCCATTCTAACTAATTAATAAAGGTATCCCTAAAGAAAAGGCAAACAGCTCCTGCAGCAACAACGCCTCGACATACAAATAAAAAAAAATCCGAAAGTTGAAAATAAGTCGAAGACGCGAGCTAGGTATGAATTCGGAAAATGTTTTGTTTTTTTTTTTTTTTGCCTTTCCACTGTTATAAATGTTACCAAAGTGGTTTTAAAATGCGATGCTCATAATATTAAGGCATACAAACAAATAACTGCATAACATTTGTTTGAAAATTAAGCCTGCTACACCAAGTCATTTCCTCCACATCTATCTGCCTCGAACTCTGGCATATGAAAATAGTCAAGCCGTTCAAAATTAAAGCATACAAACAAAATACCACATGTACTAATTAAAAACCTATTTTAAATAAACGTCTAATTGAACAAAAAAATGTGCGAATAAGTCTAATCGAGGTGGAAAACTAATGAAAAAAGAAATAATGAAAACAAGATAAGCGTGCGTCTGTGTGTGTATATTTGCACTCTTAGCTGACGGGGAACATGAGAGTCGTTTAAATAAAAATTCTTTATAATACCCACTGATATCCTTTTGATAAAAAAATTTCATTTGCAAATCTTAAACAGCTTTAGCACATATCTTTCAAAGCCAAAACTATTACAAACCAATATATTATTTTACAAACTAATTTTGTCATTCTCAAGTTTAATTATAGCAAATAGATTCACGGCTTTCCCTCACACATTTCCGGTACATTATTATTTATAAAATAAATATATATTAATACCCCCTTCCGTTCGAAACGGTTGGAATTTTTGACAATTGTGAAGCTACGTTTCCCACAGAGCACATCCACCATCTACCATCCGATAACAGCTGATCTGGCTTGTTGAACCCAGCCTGTTGCTTCTGCCCCTTCCACTTTCGATTGTTCCCTGTCTTCATTGTTTACGTTTTCGTAATAAATGTTTCAATTTTAACTGTCAAGAAGAAGACCTCAGAGTTGCACCAAACAAACATCGCCTTCCTATCGCATAAAAGAGTCCGTTAACTTAGGATGAGGAACTAACTGGGAAATGTTCGGAACGGCAAAAATGGTGGAAGGATATCTTTGGGACCACCAGTGAGACAATCCGAAAATATCGTTTATTGGAAATTCTTCCAGAAATTGTACAATTAAGATATTAGGAGATAAGAGTTCAATAAAATGTTTTATCCATTTATTTGTAGTCACTCAATTTGCACGTCCTCTTCTTCGGGTACGGTTTGCTTATGCCGAACAGCTGTTCGCTATAGCGAACACTATTTAAACAAGAAACGCTCAAATGTGAAAAAGCCATTTAAAGGTGTGCGCAGAGGCTATGCGCAAGGTACGTTCATAAAACAAATCGTTTTTATAATTAATACCCTCTGCACACTGCATCAATTGCATATGCAGATCAAGTAATCTCTATATGAACAAGAATCCCCTTGAAAGTGGAACAGCAATCTTAAGCGGCTGTGTACATAACGTATGAGACAAACGGTGCGCGAGGTATGTTCATTAGGGCGGTCCAAAAAATGAAATCTTGTTCTCACCCCATCATATGGTTGATCAAAGTGTACAACACATGTATTCAAAAACTACAATTTTTTGGTTGGGTGTTAGACCTTGCTGGGATACGCTATACGTCCTCAAAATTTCTTTTAAAATTACTCAAACGACATGTATACCAGCCATAACCTTTTTTAAAGAGATCGATATCCTTTCCCCTACATTGTCAACACTAATATCTCAGACAATTTGATTTTAAAAAAATTTACGACAAATACCGAAATGTTTTTGGAGGGAAAACTAAACTCAGAATTATACACAACGGACTTTCGATTCAACTCAGGGCCACCTACATATATAAAAAAAATATTTTTGATCAGCCCCAATAGTGCGTATGAGTTTTAAGCTTTGAAACCGATTCGCAGACCCTATGAACCGTTTTTGAAAAACTTTCGTTTGGTATACCATAAGTTGCTCAATGCGCACCTTATAGGCGGATAAAAGTGGGACCTTAAAAATTTGCATACCAATGCGGATCGCTCTAATGTTCATAAATAAGAAACGCGTTTCCTGTTCACATAGAGATTCGCTGAAACGAACAGCTGCTCGGCATTAGCAAATCGTACCCGAAGGGAGAGGACGTGCAAGCTCAGTTGCTCCGAAAAAAAGCAATACAACTCAAAACTAAATATAATTTAAACGCAAACATGTGTAATGCTTTCAACGCCAAATGATTATATAATTGATATTTCCAAATTTATCAAGGATGAGCTGTCCATTCAGGTAAACGCAGTGAAATGTATAGGGACTATTGTGTACAAAGAGTGTTGCCACGAGAATTTTCCCGTGATAGAACCAAAGACATTAGAATACAAAGATGCGTAACACCATACGTTTTTTTTCACATCATTTTTTTATTCTGGCTCAAGGCTCTCTTGAAATTTTAAATTTACTTATTTTATATGTATTGATTTTAAAATATGTAATATTTGTATAATATATGTTTAATCCCTAAAGATTTATAAATGGAAAGAGCGAAAATTCTGGGGATACGCCCTCAGCCTAAGCCGAATAAGCTAGAGCATCCACTAAGGTTCGACCTGACCCCCCAGTGGCCCCAAACAGCACAAAACACAATATTTACAAAGAAATATAAAATTGATTTGTAATGCTTAACTCCTAAAATTGTTAGAATTTCGACATTTCTTGTTTACCAAAATGTGAGCTTTGAAAATGCTTTATTATATATATATACTTATAGGTGATTTTTTTTATAGTTTTTTTGAAAAGTTATTTATTAATCTTGAGATTAGCATTTTAGACCAAGTATGTATGTATTTATTGTATTATAAGCAAGCAAAAACAATAATTTTCAGCTATGTATGTATGTTTGGATATGCTTTGCTTTGCTTATATTGTGTGTGTGTATGTTTCTATTTGTAAGTTTAAATACATACAAAAACGATATGAACTTTCTTTTAGCCAATGCAAAATATATCTAAGTTATTTGTCAAGCTTAAAATTAATAATCATCGATTAAATGTGGAACCATGAATATGAAGTTCTTCTCTACCTTTTTTAAGGTATACAAATCTTCACGTGTGTTTATGTATGTATGTACACATGTTTCAATTTAATAACATTTTTTTTTTTAATGTATTTTTACACAAATATTTAATGCATTTATAATTTCTTAACAAATAGAAATGTGTACATATGTACATATTTAAAACATAAATACATATGTATACATACATTTTTACGTATAACCGATGTTTAAAAATAACTACACAAATATGAAAATATTGTTCCATCTCAAATTTCTAGCGTTTTTGTTTTACCAATAACAAAATATAACGGCTTTTGTATTTTTATACCCGTTACTCGTAGAGTAAAAGGGTATACTGGATTCGTCGAAGTATGGGTGACACGCCCACTCCAAAGCCCACATACCGACCAAAACTATGACTCCTACAGTTTTGATGCTAGAATACAAATTTTAACTGAAATGTATTGGTATCGTCATAACTTATCGATTGATCCTAAAAAAAATTGACACGCCCACTCTAACGCCCATAACGCTTAAATCTGTCTAACGCCCACATAACCATATAATGAGATCACGGATAGGTGGCGCATTTCAATCTCGCTTTGCTGCTTGCATATCTCCATATTCCTTTGGTCCCTTAAGCTGAGTAACGGGTATGTGATAGTCGAGGTACTCGAATTTATGTTAATCTCAATTTTTAGTTGTGGAATATTAAATAATTGCGTACGCCTTAGTGGATGCCCTCTACTGCCAAATACCCGTTAATCAGCTAAGAAGGGTGCAAGGGAGATGGAACTGAAATTTGCGTTCAAGTTAGTTTTAAAGCAAAAAAGATGTTTAGCTTGCTGTTTGAATATTTCATAAAATTTTATTTTTGTGTGTATATT